CATTTGTATTTTTTTGTCTTCAGAATTTATTGAGCTCGACTGCAGCCCCTCTTCCAGAATATAAGACCGCTTCCGTGAAAAAAAGCAGATGGATAATATCGCACTACGGGATGTTCAAAAGCGCCTGGGACTGGCTGATCCTCATAGCTACGTTCTACGTGGCGGTTGTCGTTCCATACAACGCTAGTTTCCAAACAGAGAGACCTTCTGTTATATTGGACGTCTTCGTTGAAGCGCTATTTTTCGCAGGTTAGTATCCTTATCATCACTAACTAGCTCTGTCCGGCCTGGCTTCGCAAGGTTAGTGTACCCATTTGAAAAAAAAAGACATTGACATTTGTGTGCTTATCTACTATCATATAATACTTACACTATTCTCATTCTTTCATTATCATTTGTATATGTATTCATGTTCCACGTATTGAAAAATTCAACCTAATCGGTCAAGTCGTTTAGTAGTTGACGTACCACCAGCAGCGCCACCTACCGCCTTCAAATGTATTTAAAAATCATCAGGAAACCATCGAATTACCCATATGGAATTTCAACCCAACTGGTTCAGCCGTTTAGTAATTATGTGAAGAAGATAAATACGGAAGGATAATTCTTACTACCTACCCATTATCCTATTACCTAGGAATGAAGCATTTTCCTGCGGTAAATGTAGCCTCATCAGTGATAATGTTGGATTCTTATGGTGGAAGAATTATTCAAATCGGTCCAATATTCTCGTGGCACTTGATATCTACAAGGAATTCGATCGAGTCTGGCACCACGGACTTCTTGCCAAGCTTCCATCTTATGGCTTGCCTCCTCAGCTATGTTCTCTGCTAGCTAGTTTTCTCTCGAACAGGTCTCTCTATGTAGTGGTCGACGGTGTTTTATTTGACTCTGTTATCATAAAAAATGCCGGTGTTCCGCAAGGATCAATTCTAGCACCAACACTATTTCTACTCCATATCTACGATTTGTTCGAAGCAACTTCATGTCCAGTACACAGCTTCGCGGATGATAGTACCCTCCATATCGCCTCCTCTTTCAGGACTCCAATATCAACTCCACCGTTTTTTCTGTTTTTTCCAAATATGGGTTTTGCCATTAAATATTGATCATGTACCCTCATAGGAACACAGGACATCTTTGAAATCAACCTGACACTCAACCGATGCTTTGCACAATAATTTTATTCAAAGTTTTTCATAATGTTCTTTCATTCCCACGTGGGATTATTATAGAGCTTGATCCCATAGTATATAGGATGATTCTGAGATACTGCCAATGTACTACGAAGCAAATGCAATTGAGTATAATTCCTAGTGTGATGATCATAGATTTGTTTCAACCTGTGCGTAGGTACCTTATACTGTAACATCTAATTTCAGTAAATGTTACTTTTCCGACCAGATATTGATAGTACCAAGTATTCAACTGACCTTCTCAGAGTAATTAATTCAACTCTGGTTTTCTCTGAATGTATTTTGAGAACTTGCATTCCAATTTGTAGGATATTTTGAGCTTCTCTGTTACAGATTTCATGGAGCTACGAGTCACTGGCATTCATCGGAGATCATCATGTATATTCTTTGCATAATCTGGATTTTAATTGCATGTAATGTTTTGTTGACTTGATGAAAGTTCATTATTTCAGTTTGTGTTGATAAAATTCAGGTGAAATGTCAAACAAGTTGTTGAGGTTCAAAATTGTAAATTTAATTCTTCTTTTTCTTTTGTTCCATTGTCTCATGTAGCATTTACCAGTAGTTCAGTGTTCAGCCCTCAACGAGCAGGATCGCGACAGTTACATATCAAGGTTGATAGACTTCTCTTTATCCTCAACATGATGTCTAAGTAATAGGCCGTCTGCGTTTTCTTATTGTTATTGATCTGTATTGATTATTCATTTGAACCTGGTATCGGTTATTGCAACGGTTGAATCGAATCTGGCTATTTGGTTACTATGATTTTTTGACTTTTATGACATGGACATTTGAATTTCCAACTAGAAAAGAGAAATAAAAATTGAAAATTGTTTCTTTCTGCATCTGGCCACCATTGAATGAACTCGTAGGTGGATGTCCGCTAAATTACATTTCTGATCATCCACCATTTTTCGTGAATAACATCTAATTAGAGGTAACTATTCAATTATAGAATATTTTTGATTTATTGAAATTATTATCTCTATGGAATTTGATCCATATTCAAGGAAATTATAACTATTTGTATGTTATTATAACATGTTTTCTATTTTTCCTATGTTATAGTTGTGCCAGACTTTTACTTTTACATTTGCTTTACATTTTGCTTGTACTTTTACTTTAATTTTCACTTTGTGGATTTGGAAGATAATGTAACTATTTTGCTAGTAAATGCTTCTTTATGGACTCGAAAGAGTGAGCATTCCTGATGATTATATGAAACAATCTTCATGGAAAGATTGTCCTGGCTATTAGAGCCGATTTATTGTTTCTGATATCAACACTGGAAAGTTGATGTGAATTTCGAGAAGATATAGATAATTTCCAACTTGCTGTCATAAATTCAACGTACTGGCTGGACAAAGCATACTTATAGGTCACCTGACGTCTTACCAGTCTCGTATGCCCATGAAATCTGAAACCTGGTGCCCAAAATGATAAAGAAATTGACCATGATGTAATTTGGAAGCTGGATATATCAATAAGCTCTAGCAACATTTTCTGGCTTGTTCACAGTCTTGCTGACATGAAGTATTCTCTGCACATCATAAAGTCTTCACTGATCGTTTGAAACATTTATTATCAAATTTTTATAATATAAAATCAAGTACAATTTGGAATCTAGTACAATTTAGAAGTCATTCAATATTCCTATATCTGTGAAGGTGTAATGCATTATATCTGGGGAATATTCCATTGATTTCAGTGATTAGATTTATTCAATCCCGATGATCATTGTGTCAAGTTTCACTGATAGGAGATTGTTTATTTAACACCCTGTATATTAAATATGCACACCTAGTTGCATTTCAGGTACAGTCAAAATTATTTGTGACACATTATAAATGTTTGTGATGCAGATTTAATATTCCTTCGAATACCCTTTTTAGTCAGTAAATGAACCTAAATTTTATTTGTTTGATTTGTTTTCCAATCCTTCAACACAGACAATTTCTTTCTACAGGGATTGGCTTAAGAAAGAGGTTTGTTGAACTTTATTTTCTGTAGATGGCGTCCAAATAAAATCTTATCTGGTGGAACTATCTTCCTTATGCTAATTGTTATCTCTTGGACAAACTTATATGATATGGTGAGTAAATGAACCACGACCCATTTGCACCGACTATATGAGCTGACCGTTCGTTCGATCATCGCACAGTATAACCAGAAATTTCTGTACTTCTCACGTTTTAAGGGTTATAATACTATACATGATATTTTATGACCTTATTTATACAAGTGTTTGTTTAGTAGGTACATATTTGAATTCCAATAAATTGATCAAATCCGTTCAATAACGGTTTAATTTCAGATTGCCGTTAGTATCGGTTCAATTCCTTTAGGCCAGTATTTTTTCATTAATTCTTTAACGTCTACCATTTTTTTTCAAATCTGTGTTTGAAGAAGAATGAGAAGTCTTTTGGGTATTTCGATCGCAAAGTGATAAATTGCCTCTTGACAAAAAGAGTTACGAAGAGACGAGGAGCGAAGTGCAGTAATCTTTGAAGCTTTCGAGCGCCAATGAGTGAATGAATGCACTTCAATTACCAATTAAGAACATCGGGAAATTTGATGAGCGGTAAACGTCCCTCACCAACGGATATCGTGCTGGGGTTATAGTGTTGTAGATATGCGATAAAAAATGGTCTCAGGTGGAAACAATTTCAACAAATTTTTTTTTTGCTTTTCTCAGTTCAGAATGCATAGAATAACACATATGAGAAAATATAGAATGATACCTCTGTGCAAAATAAAAATACAGTGTTTCCAATATTCGTTTATTTGTTAATACGATATAAATCATAAACCTAATAAAAATGGCATATTTGGCATGTAACAGAAGTTCATTCATTATCTTCAACTTCCTCGATTGGAATATTGGTATCTTCCCGAACAATTATTGCACAATACTGTGCAAAAAAATTCCGTATCGTCGACATTTACATCTGGTTCCACAAGGTTCATCTACTTCAGTTTTGCAAGAACTTCTGTACGTCATCATATGATACAGAAAACCCAAGCTTATGAAGTTCATCTACAAGTAACCGAAATCGAAAATCTCGATGATACTGCACACCAACACCTAGACGAATTGATCTTATGATAGATCGTGGCCTGGCAGCTTGCATTAGTGCCTGTTCAATTGAATTTTTCTTCAAACTTGAGGATTTTTTGTTGATCATCATATCCCAGAATTTGTTCAAAATGTCGGGTGAAAGCTCATTATTTTCCTGCTCGGAACTTATCTCTTCTGGTGAAGGATAAAATAACTCTAAGGATGTTCTCATCAACTTGATTACATTCTTAATCAGTTGTTTTCCCTGTTACGATCATATTAGCTCTATCTTTTTGTCTCAATATCATAATGTCATCCGAGAAATATTATTCTAATTTTTTATGCATACGACGAACAGTGTAAGGTTCGATATTTTCTGGCAGCAGCTCTGCCGTTTTGTCCAGCAACTCCTGAACTGAAATTAGTTCATCATTTTCCTTGAGCCACCTGCATATTTCTGAAAAGGCATCTCCTTTATTTTTATCAGAAGGACGTCCCCTCAACTTTGTCTGTTCATTGGGAATATCATGTTGATGTTTCTTAGGAATAGAGTCGCCTTTTCCAAAATTCACACTACATTTCTGATTATACAGAGCATCTGATGCTGGCAAGTATCGATAACGGAAAGAAGACGTGCAAGGACATTTGATGATCAGAAATCATTTCTTGCCTCACACACATCATCAATAGTTTGTCGAAACGCGAGAGTTCGTACTGCAGATTTAATTATTTACTCAGTTTCCTTCATGAATTGGCCACAAAACAAGCAATTATCTTTGAATGCGAATGTCGGCAGCTCAGATTACAAAGCTCTGTTGCTGCTGCTGCTGCTACTAGTTGATACTTCTCTATCAGGATCTGATTTGACCCAAACGAAGAATTCACGTTTGCAGCTGGTACCAGCTTCTAAAAATCAGTGTGAACAGAAAGCTTCTGAGGTTCCTGTGTACTTAGAAACATCCCCGGCAGATGGCAGTAAGCAGAAAGTCTGTGACGTTCCTGTATCCTCCGATTCCTCTGCAACATCCCCGGCAGGTGGCGCAAGCCAGATTAACGACAGTGATGGCACCAGCAGTTATCTATTCGCTGATATGACGACAAAGGCAAAGGATGATATAGCCACAGTACCAAAAATAACATTAGAAACAGATGTCAATGATCAAAAGTCAGAAGAAGAAGAAGAAGGTGACACTTCTCAAGACAACAAGAACAAGTGGATTGAGGTTAGGAAAATGAAAAAAACCCATAACAAGCCTGCTATTTCCAAAAACTTCTCGCGCCCTGAACCTCTAAGGGGGCAGAACGAAGCTGTTTCATCATTGAAGGTAGCCCAAAAGATGGCTTATCTGTTCATTTCTGGCCTATCGCCAGAAACCGAAAGCCAAAACCTAATGGATTATCTCAAGAGTCAAAATATGCAGGATGACTATTTCTGTGAGAAAATGAAGACAAAAGGGAAAATGTACAGTTCATTCAAACTAGCTGTTCCATTAAAGAAGAAAGATGATTATATGTCGGCAGTACTATGGCCTAAGGACACAATTGTGAACCATTTTCAGAATTTGCAGCGCCAATCATCAGTGGCAAAATCGAAAAATCCAAGGCAAATATTGTAAAAGTGGACCCAGAAATTCTGAGAATCCTACACATCAATATTCGCTCCCTAAGGAATAAAGTTGCTTTTTTGGAAGCATTTCTTATAGACAAAGATTATGATGCCCTGTGTCTATCAGAGCACTGGCTCAGCAATGAAGAAATTAACGAATTAGGACTAGAAAAATTTATATTATCAAGCAGTTTTTCAAGAACTGGTAATATTGGAGGTGGCGTAGCTATTTACTTGAAGCAAAGTCTAGTTTTTAGTAATTGTATTGTAATAAATAACTTGAGCATCCAAGGATGTATTGAGTGTTGTAGTGTATATGTTAAAAATTTCAATGTTTATATTTTATCTCTCTATAGGCCACCACAGGGCTGTTTTGACACTTTTTTAGATGTACTGGAGACAATCTTGAATAGGGTAGGTCTTGGCAAGAAAATCATATTAGCTGGTGATTTTAACATACACTTCAATACAAATGAGATAGAAAATCAACGTTTGGGAGATAGTCTTGAGAGTTATGGCTTTGTACAAACAATCACATCACCCACTAGAGCTAGAGCATGTCTAGATAATATATTTGTGAATTTCAGCACTGATTCTTTTTCAGCTGATACAATAGACCTTAGTATATCAGATCATCTGGGTCAAAGGTTGTTGGTACCAATTACTGATAACAGTACAGAGGTGAAACTAGAGAAGAAGGTATGTAGGCCAATTACCCAGTCTGGTATGTGTGTTTTTTACAGTATGATTGAAGCTAGTGATTGGAACTTTGTTGATGATAGGAATTTGTGTGTGAATGCAAAATTCAGTAAATTCATGTCTATCTTGGAAGAAACCTATAAGATATCTTTTCCTGAAAAGACATATAAAATAAGAGCTAGTCAGGGGCATCATACAACATGGTTTGATGATACTCTAAGGGCTATGCGTGATCATTTAAATTTTTTGGGAGAACTGTATAGACATCACAACAGCATAGAACTGAGGCAGGAATATAATAGATATAAATTGAGATATCGATTTGCTATTAAACAAGCCAAGATAAAAGCAAATGACAAGTTAATAAAAGATGCTGCCAATCCATCTAAAATGACATGGCAAATAATAAACAATCTTAGGGGTTCAAATAAAAAGAAACAGAAAATAGAAACTGGTGGAATATTGGCAGAGGAATTTAACGATTTCTTTGCAAATATTGCAAATAATGTTATTGAGAAAATACCCATATCACAAACTGATCCAATTAATTATTTGGGAAATCCTCTCGCTCCCAGAGCTCCCTTCTCATTTTCCGAGGCTTCAGTTATTGAAATCAGAGATATCATTGACAACTTAAAAAACAAACCTAGTTCTGACATCTACGGACTCAATGTGAAACTGATCAAATCTGTGAAAAACAATATTATCCATCCTCTCACAAAACTAATTAACCAGGCATTTAGGGAAAATATCTTTCCAGATGTTCTAAAAATTGCTCAAGTTATACCTATATATAAAAGTGGTGAACTGGACTTACCCCAGAATTACCGACCTATATCTCTCCTGCCAATAATATCAAAAATACTAGAAAAATGTACTGCCATCAGAATAACAAAATTTTTCGAAGAAAATAAGTATTTTACAGAATGTCAATTTGGATTTAGGAAAAATAAGAATACAGTATTGGGAATATTGGATCTAGTATCATATATTTATGAAGCTTTTAATAATCTAGAATTCACAAGTGCCTTGTTCTGTGATCTGAGTAAGGCGTTTGATTGTGTGTCACATGAAATTCTTTTGCGCAAACTAAAAAGTTACCACTTCTCAGCAGATAGTTTTACCTTTCTCAAGTCTTACCTAACAAATAGAAAACAAACTGTGAAAGTAGATAGTGTTTCATCGGCACTTAAGGATGTCACAATCGGGGTGCCCCAAGGCTCAGTCTTGGGGCCCGTCTTGTTTTTAATATATATAAATGACTTGCCATCTATAGAACCAGGAGCAAAATTCACACTATTTGCGGATGATACGACGGTGGCCATTTCAGCAAATACACTAGAAGAGGCTCTAAGGAGTACAGTAGATATTCAAAATAACATCCAGAGTTGGTTTTGTGCCAACAAACTTCTACTCAACACCGGAAAAACAAATAAGATTGTCTTTTCAACTAGGGACACGGGTGTGACCAACGGTGACGTCAGTAGTGTGAAATTTCTGGGGGTACAGATTGACCCACTGCTGCAATGGGGTGTGCATATTGATGGGGTGGCAAGCAAATTAAGGAGTGGCTTATTTGCTCTTCGCTCTCTAGCTGGTAATGTCTCTATTTCTTCATTGAGAACAGCTTACTTTGGAATGTTCCATTCTGTGATGTGCAGTGCGATATTGGTATGGGGGCACGTACCACAGTCAAAGAGAATATTTGCGTTGCAAAGAAAGGCTATGAGAATTATTGCAGGACTAGGGTATATGGATGACTGCCGTGAGGTATTTGGCGAGCTTGATGTGTTGACTCTGCCATGTGTATACATACTCGAATGCCTGATATACGTTCACAAAAATAAAAATTTATATAGGACTCACGCTGAAAATCACGAAATTCAGACAAGAGGTAGGAATAGGTTAATACCAGTCCATCAACGTCTAACAAGGTGTCAAGACGGCCCTGGGTACTTGGCTGTAAAATTTTACAATAAAATTCCTATCAATATCATAAATTTAGAATTTGATAATTTCAAGAAAGAAATAAGAGGTTTACTCAATCAACGCAGGTTTTATTCAATAGATGAATTTTTAAACTACAACTTCTGATAAGAAACGAGTTTTAACATAACTTTAAGGTACTCAGTACAGTGTCTAAAATTTTGTATTAGTATATGTATTTTTATATTTTTTGTAACAGTAATTGAATTATGTATTATAGCTTGACGTGTGTAAATACAATTGTATGTTAACATAAATAAATGAAATGAAATGAAATGAAATGAAACCTGAGATCATTTTTCATCTTGTTCGGATTTACGTACAAACGACGACATTCGACGTGAACAATTAGAGGATGAATAGGCACTAGTTCCAAGAGTACAATTATTTTGTCTTGCTGCTACTTGCTAGCACTTATAATTCCTTATTGGACACCTTTAGCAGTCAATTCAACACAATTCGAACTGTCATCAGTACTCAACGAAAATAATAAACATTTGTTATCTTCCATCACTGCTATTAATTCTCTATGTTTAAGTATACCTCGAATAGTATATCAAATAATGGAACCTTTTTATTCACGATCACAGAGAATAGTTTCAATCACATTTTTAATATAGTGGAAGGGGTCGAATGAGGTTTCAGAAAATGAAAACTGCGTTTTTGTGGAAATTCAATTCCTCCAACTGCTCTACTATTTTTGAAGGTTTGGTTTTAGGAACTGAGAAATCTAATGTGCTCCGCCATTGGAGTGGGACACCTGCCATTCTCGCTCAGCTTCGTAAGATTATAGCTTTCAAACAAATCAACCGATTTCAACTCGATTTTCAGATTTCAGACTCTTTTTCATTGTCTTCAGAATCATGGAATGAAAAAATGGGAGAATGTCTCTTTCACAAGTCGATGAATGGTCCACTGCAAACTTGCATCAAATTCCGAGTGATTCCATTCCGTCCAAAATGTTCTTCGAGTTTTTCCATATTGTATTATGGAGTTTGATGTCATATCTCGAAATGGTACAGCGCTCTGTTGATATGTTTTTTTTTTGTAAAATATCACAAAAATAGTGTATTTCATTTCTGAAACTCTTTACATGAACATTCTCAAGGTTATTGTGTCCGATAGAAAATCGTAATTACTTGAGACTAATTCACCTATCAATACAGGGTGATAACTAGAATTCTACACAGGCTCCAATTTGTATTAGTAGCTGAACATGGCATAGTGTGCCATGTTGAAGGCATTTGATCTAATCTCACAGATGTTTCATTCCTTCATAATACTGAAGAGTGATGTGATGTCTCGAAGCAATTTCGATATTTTGGGGATCAGGTTGATAATTTCGATCTGGTATATATTTTTGGTGTATCTCTGTGTGAATGAGAATTGGAGAAGAATTCCTAATTCCCCTATATCTCCTTATCGTTTACATTTTTTTATTCATTATGAGAATACAAGGTGATTGAAGAAGACGCTCGAAAAAATCAGTTTTTAGAATATCTGGATTTTCAGTTGTATCTTATCAGTTCCTCTTCTGTTTGGAAAGATATCATTTGACTCTCGAATCATTATTTTTCCCGTTTCTATCCGATAGTATCGAAAACAAAAAATATGCTGGAATTTCAAATATAATGAAATGACAGCCTAGGGAACCAACAACCTCACCACCAAAACTCAAGCCTGTATTTTCTCTAGAATGGCGGAACTCAGTATGCTCGATATTGTAATGTCTGGCTCCACCATCGCCACCAAGCCCACCATATCTATGCAACAGTCTTTTATGGGATAATCATGTCAGATACATCGCAAAAGCTGATTCACAAAAACGCGAATTCTTGTTCCGTGCGAAAAGCTACTTTACACCTCAACAGCTTCTCATGATCTATAAAGCGCAGATACGGCCTGTTCTAGAATACTGTTCCCACATATGGGGTTCAGCACCAAAATATACGCTGATGCTCTTAGATTCCATCCAGAAAAGAGCCATTCGCCTGGTGGGTGACGCCACACTCACTCACTCTTTGACATCATTGGAAAACCGTAGAAAGATCGGCGACCTTCCACTTTTTTATCGATACTTCCATGGGAAATGTTCTTCGGAAATCTCTGCTATCATCCCTTCACTAGCAATACCAATCAGACG